CAAGGCTCACAGCTGGGGCTGCAGGGTTTGCACAGAGGGTGCCTGTCACACAAGTCTGCCAGCACTCACACGCTCCCTTCCAAGCATTCGAAGAGCTGCTGTCTTCCACGCGTGGCATGTTCTGCTGTCCCCAGCGAAGATTTAACCGTACGATCCCTTCGCATCCCCCAGAAAGGTTGGCTCGGCCAGGGATTATTGCCAGGATACCAGCCACCTCACCCCTTGCATGCCACAAACAGCTGAGCTGCAAAACAGGTTGCGACAGCCAGACCTCAACCAGCCACAACATTGCTCATCCACAGCCAATGCCTCCACTGGTATTGCAGCAGCCCCAGCGCTCCGGGAGGGCTCTGCCCTCTGCTGCTGTCCCCAGGCTGGCCATTGTGGAGGGGACTAGGTGCTCCTGCCACAAAAGCCACCTTCAGCAGTGCTCGAGAAGGGGCTGAGCTGGACCAGCTGAGCAGGGAGGGTGGGGGCATACACCAGCCCCGGAGGGCTGTTGCATTAACCCAGCACCAGCTCTGCCAGCACTTGCCTGTCAGAGGGTTTAACCAGCCACTGAGAGCTGCCCGCTGCCCCGGCAGCTCCCGGGACCCAGCCCAGCAGGCTGCCACAACAGTGTCCTTTCCCAGCTGCCCTGGCTGGGTATCCAGAGATCTCCTCCTGGCTGTTGCTCTCCTCCTAACCAGCATCTTTTTGGCTGTGGGCTCAGTTCACGGTAAGGATCCCGTGCCACCCCTCTCTAACATCTGTCTCCCATCCTCCCTCCTTTCAGGACATCCATCCCCCCATCAGTAGCACACAACATACCCAGACCCTGATCGGCTCCAGACAGGCTTGCGGGGCAACTGCTGCAGCATTTGGCTCTTCGTTTTTATCAGCAATTCCCACCCTGAGAGTCACTTTGCAAATCACGCTGAGGCTCTGGGGAAGGACGTGGGGCAGCCCAGCAGCCCCACGCACCGACCGGCAGCTCCTGCGAGACGGGGAAATTTGGCAGCTTCTTCAGAAGACTGCAAAAGCCTTACTCAGGGCTCTTGCAGGCAGTACCAAGCTCTGGTTCTCAGCCTTATTCAAAGGTGACTGGAACAGAGAAGTATTGCAGACACTTAAGACACCACTAAAAATCACCAGGTGCAAAGAAAGCACCAGAAAAAGACCGTGAGAAAGAACAGGGTGCAGGAAGTCATTTCACTCAGATGACCTCAAAGAGGGAAAGTCCTGATATGACACTAAGGAAAATATCTAAAGATTCACCATCTTGCTTAAAATACAAACGAGATTAAAAATAAACCTCAAACCCCTGAGCCTCATGTAATTGGCAGAATGCGCTTCCAACACCCTTCTAGATCTCTTATCTCTGTATTTACTCGGCATAGCTTGGACAGGTAAATCAGCCCTGGCAAGTTCCCCTTTAGTTTCTCAGGTGCTCACACAGCGGGTCAGCACCTGGATTATTTATGGTGAAATGCATATACTGCTCCATATGCTTCCAGCAGTTTACAAATGGAGGGAGCAGTCAGACAACCCTTGCTTGGTCCTCAGTTTAGTGCTGGGAGATACTCAGTGCAAGTATTATCACCAGACAGGCCACAAAGGCTTGCCCACAAGAAAGAGTTAAGACCCTGGAACCGATTAGTGGTGATTTGGCTTGATTTGGGTGTCCAGGCTTCACACAGGCCATCCTACAAGAATGCAGAGGGAAGTGCCCTGCTTTGCAAGGGTGACACTGATCTCCCCCAGCCCCAAAATCCCCGCTGGAACCCAGTGCCCCAGCCCCGCTCCAGCCCACAGGGGATAACTGACCACCACTTGGCCCAGTGGCCCATGCTGTGGAGAGTAGCCAACCTGTCAGCCCACGAGACTGCTTTTCATTTAGGTGGCAAGAGCCGAAAGGCCTGAAGAGAAGTGAAGACCTTCCTCCCACACTAGCAAGGTGCAAACACAGCCCTCCTTCGGCTCCAGCCGCTGACGGGAACTGAAATCCTGTGCTGCGAGATGCACAGCAGTTTCAGCTCTGTCAGAGAAGAGGCATGGTGAAAATGGATCAGCAGCCAGCGTGGGTGACCCATCCATACAAGCTGGAGGTGTCTGAGGGGTGACAGCTCAAAGAACCAAGGAAAGCTAGACCTCAGGTAGCACCACCACAACTGTCAGTCCTTCCTTCAAGGTAACTACCTCCCTCCAGAGAGCCAGAGCCCACCCTGAGCACCCAGCCAGGAGAGGGTCACTGAAGAAAGATGAAGGGAAAGGACATGGCAAACAACCCTCACAAGGTGAGGCTTAGCTGGATTTTAAATCACTTACAGTCCTGCTTGTGCTTCCAGTCCTCCAACATTGCAACAGTGAAGCCCCACAACACCTCAACACGTGCAAAATGAACCTCTTCAGTGATTACCCAGTGGCATCCCTGCTCTGCGCCAGCATTTAGCCTGACAAATAGCCTGGACACCACTCAAATTGCTAGTGTCACCCCATTGATTTCAAATAGGGAGGGATCAATATGGCTTAAGGTATCAAAAGAAGGGGAAAGTAAATTACTGATTTGATTTTCTAAACATCTTCACAATGGATTTAAAGAATCCTTGATCAAATCTATGTCTTCGGGTTGGGGTTTTTTTTCTGCTTGTTCGCCTTAAATATGTCCAACATGGACTTCCTGATTTTGCCAGAGAACTCACGAGGTCTCAGCCACACACAGCAAATCCTGTCGTCCCTCCTTGAAGGGGAAGAGCTTTGAACACAGAGCAGTTTTTCCACTCTACATTTACTGCATATTTTGAATTTAATAAGGGTGTTCACAAGTCCCCTTTTCATTCACTCAGTTCCCCTCAAAGTTGTTTTTAAGTGTAACCAGAAATGCCACGAATCACCTTTAATTTCCTCAGACTTGCAGTATCTCAACCTGACTGTTTTCTCCAGTGGTTCAGGGAGACTAGTAGACAGGGACTAGATTTCAAGTGAGAAAAAAGAAGGGAAAAGCAGAGGAGAAGCCTTGTCATCCACTGTACTAGACACAAAAGCACAAACACCTCTCTCGGTCTAGGGAGAAGACCCTTGTAAAGGCCTCTGGGACAGAGAGGCTCCTAGATAACACAGACCGGAGCACAGCAGGTCTCTCAGACACACGCACACTATTTAAAGGTGAGTTAGGGTCTGTACCTGACTCCGTTAGATGCAGACAGTCCTGTGCTGGGGCCCCCAGCTTGAGGCAAAGCCCAGGTGCTCTGTGCATTGAGTTTTGGTGTTGACCTTGCTCCAGACAAAGTCGGTTTGTTATAGGGCACGAAGCCAACGCTGGAAGAACTTACTGACGCTGTCCTACTGGAAACCTGATGAGTAGTGGAAGAGTTGGGAAAGTTTATCATGGAGTGCCGGTAGCGCGTGGTGATGGGACCAGTCCCACCATTTAGCCAGCACTGCTGGCAGGAACAAGCCACCCCCGCGTGAAGGGGTGCTGAGGAGGCTGTCACTGGGTACGGGGCGTCCAAGCGTCTCTGAACGCCACGGCGGAACCTCGTGGTCTTGTTGGTCTGGACTTGAGCCACAAAGTCAACTTCATAGTTATAGCCCAAGGGTCCGAGATCTACTCGCTGGTGGTTCGTGGCACGGGCTTGCTCCAGGAACACACAGACGTTCATCTCGTAGGGGGACCACCCACCTTCATCGTTCTGCCACTCCCAGATGATGCCCTGCCCGGCAGCAGAGTCCCCGGGGAAGAGGTGCCTGCGGACAGCCCGCATCGTCCCTGTGTGGGGAGGGGGCAGGAAAAAAAAAAATCATTTTGTGAGCAGAGAAGTAAAGGGGACCTGGACTCAGGGACTTGTTTCTGCACAGATCTATGGTGTCTGCATCAGAGTGGCCTTCCTCACCTCTCCCTTGGCAGGGGCACTAACAGAGTTTCTCTTCCCGACAGGGCTGGGTTTGCTCATGAAGCTTAGAGAAACGCAACACCCCCAAGATCCCTGTCCCTCTGCCAAATCTGATTGTGGGCTGGCAATAGGTTCAAAAGCTGCTGAGGAAGGGTGGGAAAGGAGGGAAGGAGAGAGGATGCAGAGACAGACACACCCAAGGACAAAGGCACAGCTATCACATATGCCTTCCTGACATTAAAAATAAGTTTAAAAAAAAAAAAAGTCAGGCTGAGGCACAGATCTGGTTAAAAAAACCCAACTCCCACAGCCTTGACAACAGAGTAGCTATAGAGACACAACACCATCGGGGAGTGCTTTGCAGAAGCACTTAAGGGGCTAAACTCCCACTTTGCAACACAAGGGTCTGAGCAATTTTGTTCTTGGGGGAGTGGGTAAAGTCTCATAAGGGCCAGGTCAAGGACTTTGGAGAGGATGGACAGGGCCAGCTTCTCCAGGCTCCTGAATGCTGGGAGATATAGCAAAACTACACAGCAGAAGACAACAAAGTAATTTGGAAACTGGAGAGAGCAGCTGTTCAGACAAAGGAAGAGAAATGAAAGCAGACACGCTGCTCTTGCAAGGCCACTCGACAGCAACAGTAGGAGTTCAGAACCCCCTAAAAGCTTGGCTTTCTGGGGTGACTTCACTCCTGGTTACTTTATTCCTATATACAAAAGAAAAAGCCTAATGAGAGGGAGGTAAGCCACCCAAGAGGACAGAAGCTCCGCAACCTCTGCAAAAACAGTTCCTGCAGCAGGGTTAAAACTGCTGCTGCTGGGAAAATTCTCAACAGCACTCCACACTGAGAAAGCGGAATGGGAAACGCAGCGGGGCAAACAAGTCTGGGGATGCCAGCAGGTGGGGGTGAATACGAATGCAGCAAGTTGTTATGACACAGGACGAGTTCAGAGAACAGCACTAAGAGGCAAAAAACAATATAAAGCCTCCTAAGCTGTCATGAGAGTTATGACACTATGCTCCAGGACCTCAGGTGAAAACAGGCACGTTAACAAGTATCCACACCTAAAGCCTGCAGAGAACTGCTCCAGGATATTGCTGGTGCTTCCTTGGGGGACAGACAATCCAAGCAAGCTTTGCACCCCACAAGCACACCCCAAGGAAGGAGGAGGACAGCCCACATGGGACTCCACACTGCCAAAACCCAACTGCTACCTGTGTTCAGGCTCTGGCTGACTGAATGCTGGCTTGAGTATCTCTACCTCACACTGCTGTCTCTTTCTACCCCATAGTAGGTAGAATGCAGATATTGCCGAAACTACTAGGATTTGACTCAAACCATAAGGGCGTTAACTGCCTCCTCACTGCTAAAAATTCTGCACGACAGCATGAAAGTCGCACCTCTGCTCCTGTCACACTCCTGGGCTTCTTTGTAAATGGTGCTGGTGGTTTCTGCACAGCGCTTTGGTGGTCAGACCATAACGAGACCCAGGGTGCAGGTATGTCCCACGTGTCATTGCAGAAACTAAATCAGGAAAGACAGATCTGAGCTCCAGAGCCACTCTCTCAAAGGCAAAACGTGCCATACCAAGGAGCGGCAGGACTCGTGTTTCTGCTGGAAAGCTGAAGGCACTGGGGACTGGAAGGGCTTTCCTCAGCCCATGCAGGGGTTGAGCAGCCAGGAAAGGTCCAGCACTTACTCGCAACCTTTGCTTTGGCGGCCAGAGCAGCACCAAGCATCCTGCTTATTGCAGAGCAGGACTCTCCAGTGACACCATCCAACAGACAGCTTCTCATCAGCATACCTAAAAAGCTACTAGCAGCCAGTGAAACACAGCAACCTCCCCCGTAAAAACTGGGATTGAACCCCAATAGCTCAGCCACAAAGCCCAGGGATTCCGGTGGGACAAGACCTTCCTCTGGCAGAAGTCAGGGCAGAAGGTGTCAGCAGAACCAAGCTGACCTTCCCCAGCCAGGAATCAGCTTCTTAACGTGGGAAAGCAGATGAAACAGCCAAGAGCAAACTCTGGCAATGACTGCTCCTATCCAGCAAAGAAGTCCTGCCAAATTTTAGAAACACAGAACCTATGGCCTCAACAGGTGGGCAACATCAGGGATAACCCCCTGAACAGAAGGAGTACTGGGGATGAGACTGGGCTGGAATTGAGATGGTGAGAAATGAACTACATTTAGAGATGAGTGCAGGGAACCTGCTCCCAAGAGAAAGGGGACTACCATGGGTAAAGCAAGGTGTCAGAAAGCCCGGTGGGACACATCATGGAGATTAGCAAGGCTGCCACTGCTCCATTGGCAGGTCAGAAGCTAAAAGCAGCACAGAGAGGACTTGAGGAGTTTGTAAGCAACCTGTATTTTTAACATCCCAAAACAGCAGCAGGGAGAAGAGCTTTTAGGAATCAATAACAAGACCAAAGCCATGCACTTGGAAAACATCCCCCTTCCCCCAGGCTGGCAGGGAAACTGGCATTCCTCTCCAGGGTGGGCAAACAGCTGTGTTGAGAAGACAACTCCTGCTGCTCCCTTGCATTCACTCCCAGCTAATCTGCCTCGACCAGCAGCTGAAGCCCGTGGCTAATCCTGCCTGCAAGATCCCCCTGCACAGCTGTCATTCCCCGTTGGTGGGGATGCTGGTCCCGTTAACATTGGCTTCCTGTTATTCTCCCTGGCTTCCTCTGAAGAGCCTATTTGTCTGTCTAATAGCTAATGAGCAGAATACAACAGCCTATTTTTTGCTCTGTTTAAAGATTTTTCATGGGGATGTTTCCTGCAGAGAGTCTTTTCTCCAGCACATGACAAAGGTCAGCTGGCTGCTTGCTCAGAAAGGTTCACGTTTAACACAGAGCCCTGCAGAGAGAAAAAGCTTTGCTTAGAACTGGGCCACTGAAAGGGAATACAAGAGCATTTCCAACAGTCACGTTGCAGAGCACACAGGTAATTGTGGAGGGAGGCTCACAGACCTGGCCACTCTGATCAGCACCCCTCCAAATCAGTGGGAAACGCTGCAGGAGACCTCTGAAGTGGAATCAGCCTTTTTGTTATTAACGACTCAACCACAGATCTAGTCCGAAAGATGAGATCACATCAGCCAACATAATTTCCAAAATTGTATTGTGCTATCCCCCAGAGTTGACCAGCTCCAAACCATCCTGTGATGGACAATATTCACGAGGTGTTTTGAGATCTTTCATCAGGGTCTAAAGAGATACAAGACCTTTGCGGAGAGACAGCTCCACTTGTGGAGAAGGATGTCCCATTCACGCTAGGACACATCTTTCAGTCTCCCACAGGCACTCTGCTCACCAAGTTACAATGGCCCAAACTGGGCAACTTACTGAGAAGGGATGGCGCAGGACTACTGCCCATGTGTTGGAGCACTGGCTGAAAGGACAAGAGGCTGGAAGGTTCCTTCACAAGTTTGGCATGAAGGAAACAAGACAGAAACAGCCACTGGTGCTAGCTCTGGTGGTCCATGCTGTATTGCTTGAAAGCCACAGCCTCAGCAGGGCTTCCAGGTGCTCAAACAGGCCATGCTGAGCCAGTTCTGCCAAGGCACCCAGCTAAGAAAGCTCCTCACCCAGCACACCCCTAGGAAAAACTAACCCTACGGTCACCAAGTCAGAATAAAACCACAGATGGCAGCTGTGATGACCACTCACATTTGCTCCAACCACTTCCTTTCCTGTAGGAATTGCCCAATCGTGCAGTTGATTCAAGATAGTGCTCACTTACTGCTTCAATTGGCAAGAAACCAGAGCACTGCCCATCTCTAAAGCTGGGGTGATGCTTGACTGTGTCCTGGGGTGATGGGAAAAATGTTGACAAAGGGGAAACCGATGCACGGAGAATTTTCCAAAGCAGCCATTCATTCGTGGTGTGTAATCTGGGATCTCCCTGGATTTTCCAGAGATGAAGAGCATGCATTCCACCCCTGCCCTCTTTCTAAGCTACAGCTGCTCAGCACATCTGGAGCAAAAGAAGGTAGGAGTCACCTCAGCAAATTCTGAGCTGCTAGCCTCAGTGACCCCAAGACAGACAAGATGCGAATAAAAATCAGGTCTCAATCCTGCTATTAAGACCAGCCTGCCCTTCCTCCCTGGGAGGAAACAAGTCAGCCTCGTATAGCACAAGTGCGGGGAATATTCTGCTGCAGCATTACAGCGTTCTGCGGGGGCTGCAGGCTTTCGCAAAGCAGCTTGCGCAGGGCGGCATGCCAAGGTAAAGCAGCTGGCACTCCAGTCGCAGAGGGAATAAGGGATTCAAGCAGGAGGGTTTGAATCGTAAAAAGGCCTTTTTATGCGAGTGGTCTTGAATGGATGTGGATGGGGGCAGGAAGAAAGTCTGTGGCTCTAAGGGCCCTGGCTCACTGAGCTCCAGAGGTCCCGTGATAAGGCTCCTCAAGAAATCACCACCGTCTGCCTGCGCCCAGCCCTGCAGATTCATGCCAGCCAATGCAGATTTGCTCATGTGCTAATATGTTGGGCAGCCGACAGCATCAGGAGAGAAGCAGACACACCACCCATCAAAGGACTGCCCAGCAATGACAGCAGAACTTTGTAGGGCTCTCCTGTGCAGAGCAAGGTCCCGCTTATCTCCAAGCACGCAAGCAGCCTCATTAAAACCCCAGCACGGGCAGGGAAGCTTCCTTACCTGTATCCTGCCGGAACTGCGTCAAGCTTGGGATGTCGATGACGTAGGGGGCCAAGACAGGATCCACATGTCCCAAAGGGATGCTGCTGACAAGCCCTGACCCCGAACGCCGGCCCTTCTGCTGAGAGGCCTGAAAAACCTGTTCAATGTAGCTGCAGACATTCCCTCGGTATGGCCTCCACCTGCCAAATTCATCCTGCCATTCCCACACTGCCACTGCCGAGGAGTTGCTGCTGTGCCCCGGGGCAGAACCGGGGAGTCCGGATGGCCCGGCTGAGCTGCTTCCTGCTCCCTGAGCTGCTGCCATGTTCCTCCCTGAGGTCTGGGCACGCCGCGATTGGAAGTGGCAGCTGCGCTGGCTGGCCTTACACCATTTTCTTCTGGGGGACCTGCAGCAAGGAACAAAGAGAGCACATGGAGCTGAGAATGATGCCCCAAATCCACCCCACCCTGCATCCATACCATACAAGCCATTTAAGAGAGGGAAACAAGCTCAGCCTTTCACAGAAGATGATCACTATGCATTTAGGAGACTACAGAGAAGTGGATCGGCCTCAAAACCCTCTGGTCAAGGGCAAATGAGGTACTACCACCCACTCCCTGCCAATGCTAGCAACTTTTCTTCCTAATTTAGAGCAAAAACTCTTTGGAGAGATTCAGCTTCTTATGGTTTGTGGCCCCAGACACCAACAGTCACTGCAGACCTGTACAAAACCAGCCCAGAGCTGCTGCTGACCTACGCCAGGCAGATCTGTAAGCCCTGACCCAAGTTCAGATGCTCACTAGCCAGGAGTGTGCCAAGGCAAGTGGCTGCTCCGCATCTCTCTCCACCTGTGCTCAGCACCAGTCCTGGCAGCATTACGCTCTGACCACCCTGACATGAGCTGCCAGCTTGCGAGCAGGAGCTCTCCAAGCACTTGTGCATATGAATGACTTGGTTACACAAGCAATTCCCAAACTCTTCTCATTGATCTGAGCCCCAGGGCTGCAACATCAGCTCCATTCAGGCTTCTGATCACTCAGTTTTGATCCAGCATCAGTCCCTTGACTCAGAAGCAATCCTTTACGCACAGTCTGCGATTCACAGTAATACATACATTGAGTGTGATCTGAGCCAAGGATGGATGGGAATGAGTACAGAAGCACCAGGAGGAATGCAGGGCGTAATAAACAGCCTGTGCCAAGGGCAGTGATTTAGCGCATCTTCAAGATCTCAGCACACCTAGCTGCAGCTTCTCAGGTTGGAAAACAAGGAACATCTTGAAACAAGGGACAATCTGCATCAACAAAGACTCAAGGCAGAGACTCAAGCCATTAAGAGATGATTTGGGGAAAAACAGAGAATGGGGTAGGAGCCTCAGGACATCCAGATAAAGACACAAAGGGCAGTGAGTAAATCTTAAGGACTCACAGAGAAGGGACAGGAAGCAGAGACAAAAGATCACCATCACTCTTAGCCCCCAAGGGATGTAAAAAAGCAGACCCAAAGCCATCACATGGTTGCCAAGCTGTCCAAGAGACACCAGAGGTCTGATATTTGGCATTCCTTGTCTGCTGTGTCATTGCAAGGAATCCTGTCCAGACCATCTGGACACACGTGTCTTGATGGCCGAATGCCAGACAGACCACTTGGAGATCCCCATGCTGGTGCTTGTGAGCAGGTGGGTATGACTGTGAATGAGCGAAATTCATTTTGTTTTAAAATAAAGTCGCCTTCTCCCTCCTAAGGTCTCACGTCACTGATTGCTCGCTTAACTCCCAGCAGTCAGCAGGGAGCTATGAGCTTCCTTCCCATCAAATGGAAAAGTTCAGGTCTCCCAAGAGGCAGAGAAGCAGTGGGTGGCTTCCACTGGAGGATGCCATCTGCGCGGAGAATGACATCCCTACCGGATGGGGGAAGATCCCACGCTCCATGGAGCGTCCCATCCATCATGCTCGCGTGGCTTGCTAGCTTAAAAAAGAAATAGAAAAAGAGCGAGTGAAGAACAGACACGCCCACATGTCTGCATTTATAAGAGGAAAGCAACACTTTCTCCAGGAATTCATTGTAAATTAGTTTATGAGCTGCTCTGAGACTTTTACAGAACACCCCCAGCTTGACTGGTGTTGGTGACAAACCACTCTAGATCACCAACAGAAGACCCGAATCTCTGCAACTGATCTCTTTGATGTAATTCATTCTCCCCTAATGCACCAAGGATGGTTATTTTACTGCTCAAAACAGCAAATTAACACTTGAGGTATCAAACCCAACACCTGCCTCTGCCAGCTCTTTTTATGGCATGTTTCACACCGACATAGCTTCTCCTCAGGGACCGCCAGCATGTCCATGCTCGCCTTGGACCACCATGAGCCAAAGCAGGGCTGCAGGGTTTTCTATCCTACCCACCTGGCATCAGGTGCTCTGAACCCCAAATAGAGAACTAACACCATTTTTTTCCCAAAGTTGTTGTTGTTACCAAGTACTCATCTGCACATCCTACAGCCACAAGCAGAGCAGGAGAGCAGAGGGAGGCTGTTTGGAGGGAGTCGGCGATTCATTTTCCTTCCTTTTTGAAACACAGCAGCAGGAAATGGAAAAAAGAGAGTATCTCAGCAGAAGAGCTGCCTCCGTCATGCACCACCTCGCACTCGCTGGGACGCTGGCCGAGAACAGCCGGGTGACAAAAGCCTATTGCTCACCCCCTCGGATGGCAGTGTTGCTTTGAATCCTGGACCACACGCCCTGACCAGCTCCCACACGCAAGCAAAGGTACCCAGACTAGCTGCACATGAGCACTGTGTGCTCCGACACTTGCTTCCCCATCAGAATGGAAAAACATTGCCTGCGCTGAGACTGCTGGTCCAAAGGAGGAGCAAGGGGCGGATTTCAGCCTCCTGCCGGTTCTCGCTGCTGCACGCTGCTCGAGCCAGCAGCTGTTTGCACAGATTGGGAAGTGAGGAATGCGGGAGAGCTTCAGTAAGCCAAAATCACACAAGTCCCTGAGTTAAGGCAAACAAGAGAAATAAAAGGCCTGAAGTTGCAGTTCCTTTCCCCTCTCTGTGAATTCAGCAGCACACAAATATTAAAAGCCGAGAAATTCAACACCAGCACTGCTCGGGTGGTTTTCAGCCTACCCCCTTGGACTGCCACGTGTGTTATACCAAGGCAGAGAGGGTTTAGGGCAGGCAGCTAACAGAGCTGTATGGAGACGGCTGGCTGTGGCTCGGGATGTGTTACACATCCCACTTTACCAGCATTGCGTTTTGGATGCTAGCAGCAGCAGTTAAGCTGCAGCAGCTGCTTCACACTGGCTCTGCCCTGGGAAGATTGGCAGCCCAGAGAGCGCGCTACCTGCCTTTGCTAAAATCCCATGGACTATAACACTTCACCTTGAGCTTTAAAAATGCTTTGAAAAGCTAAAAGTCATACCAACCCCTAAAAGCTATGTTTATTCAGCAAACAGGCCTGGCTCCAGTTAGAAATCCTATGGGCCACCTTGCTCTAAATGAAAACAAAAGCACAACTACTTGAAGTGCAAACTTACATATTCTGGCCAACTGCCTTCCACTTTGGAGGTAATTTGTAACTTGGGCTCCGATCTTGAATTTGGATTTGTTTGGCTGGATCTTTATGTCCCAGCACAACCTCCGAAATGTTTGCCCACGTGGCTTTAATCAGGGACTTGGAAAGGAAAAGAATTGGGTGCATTTCAGTTGTGTTTCCCAACAGATTCATTCCCTGCTCCTCAAGCTCCAGCAAATGGTGGTGAGAAAGCTGGGGAGGGGAAGGTGGGAATTAAAACATTTGAAAGACATGTTTAATTCTCAAACCTGTTCTACTTCCAGTAAGCATGATTTTCTTTCACTTTAAATGCAAGATCTTAAAATTCATGGGTCTGAGATGATTTCTAAAAATGCCAAGTCCCTTTTAAAAGTTTCAGTTCAGTTTCTAAACTGAAATTGCCAATGCTGATAAAAGTTTAAATGATATGCTAGCTTGTACCTGGAAAAAAGGCCTCAGGAGCCCTTGAGCTGGGCTGCATTAAAAAAAAAAAAAAAGGTCACCAGATTAGTAAAACAGAGACTTTTCAGCAGGTTGCTCAGAAAAGAGGGTGCCCAGGAGGGATTTGTTAAGCGCCACTAACACCACACGAGAGATGGGACTGGAAGGGCTACAAAGAGTCCATGGGAAAAGATTACACACGGATTAGGAGAGCATGTAAAGCACAGGGAGGCAGGGGGGCCGTAATAAGCCCGTGACCCTGTGCAGGGTGCATGACTGGAGCAGCACAACAGCTGCCCTGTGCCACCCTAACCCCAAACCACCCAGCCAGGGCCCCCACATCATCTGAGCTGCACTTCTAACTGCGAGATAACTCATATCTAAGCCCATCTTTCCATACACAAGCACCCAGCACCGACCAGCACACAGCTAACAGCAGCCAAGGGTAATAGCAGAGCAAAGAGGTAGAGGGGAGGTCGAATTAGTAACTCCAGCCACGCAGATCAATCTGCCCTCAACACAGTCCTGCCTTCTTCCAGCCTTTGCTGATCCTCACGGCACAAGGTGGCGGGGTTGACAGCCAAAAGAACAGAAGAAATAAAAACCCGACCGCTCCAAACCTAGACTCCTTCCATTCAAAACAAGCTTCAAGAGAGTTCCCTTCGGAAGGGAAAATAAAGACCGCAACTGAAGCGGAACAAAGCGTTTGCCTATCAGCTAGGCTGAGGGCTTATTTCAGGCACAAATGAATAGGAAAGCTGAGGCAGCGAGAAAAGGGCAGGTACGCCTGAACGCAGGATCACACCAAAGCCGGCACCCCACTCGCTCGCTCCAGGGTTCTTCCGGGCACTGAGGCAGATTATTTATTTGTGGGGAGACTGTTTACTTGTGGGGGTGCAAACCTGGCAAGATCCAGAGGGCTCCTCCAGCTTCTCGACAGCTTCAACTA